CACACACACACACACACACCGCACGCACGCACGCACGCACGCACGCACGCACGCGCACGCACGCACGCACGCACGCGCACGCACGCACGCACGCACGCACGCACGCACGCACGTGCGCGGGCGTATATATGTATATAAATATTACACACACTTATTAAATCATGCAAACACTTAACTTATCAGTACAAACAACCCAATGTTTGATGTAATTAAAGCTCCTCATTAAAGAGGTGACAAGTATGGGTTGACATAGAGACAAGTATTTGGTTAAACTTTATTCATTCATATAAAAATCCATGGACATTGTACTCTTTCCATCATTCATAACAATATGAACAGGAACACAAAATGTAGCAGCAAGTCATTAGCATATAATGCTTCATTACCATTCGTTGTAGCTTGCACAGGTGAAATGTTTTGAGTGATCTGGTCTCTTCCAGTGCTTTGTGTGTGTAAACATTCAGAAACTGAATGCTGTGTGTACTGAAAAATAGATTTGCATAAAAAATGCTTTTGTGGCACTTTGATCAGGTTCCTTTTCATCTTATAATCTTGTACTTGATTTTTTTTATTTGGAAAAATATATATTTTTAAAATATGAATTCCTATATAATAACTTGACTTCTGATTGTCTACCATGTTTCAAAAGAAGTCATTTGGCAACTAAAAACTCCCATGTGATGTAGGTGCTTTTTGAATTCTGATACTGTGCTCTGAATATCCGTCACAGTAACAGAGAAAGGAGGTATGAGAATATATAGCACAAGGAACAAAAAATGTTTTAGGGACAGCTTTCTCCACTAAAGGACTTTGATAATCTTTAGAGTCAGTGATATATATATATATATATATATATATATATATATATATATATATATATATATATATATATATATATATATATATATATATATATATATATATATATATATATATATATTTTTTTTTTTTTTTTTTTTTTTTTTTTTTTTTTATCTAGATAGTTTCTTTAATTTTTCATATAACTTACAATGTTGTTTGTATATGTGGTGCAGTGTTATTATGTTATGCAGGAGTTTATGCATGCTGTGTATATATACAACATGATTGCTGATGTACTGACATAACTCAAGATCTGGTAAAGAATTGTATTTCATTAAACTAGGATTCAATTATATTCCACAAATTTAAATTACATTATGTGAATTACCTTTATACTAATTAAGTTACATTAAGTTTAAAACAACTTTAATAGCAAGATTCAGCCTCAAACTGGGACTAACATTCACTAAACATACAAGAATTAAACCAAGCTGTACAGTAAACTGCACTGCCATTCTGTAGTCCTCAGATATTTTATTGGATATATATATATATATATATATATTATATATATATATATATATATATATATTATATATATATATAAATATATATATATATATTATATTATATATATATGTATATATATATATATATATTATATATATATATATATAATGTATATATATATATATATATATATATATATATATATATATATATATATATATATATATATATACACACCAAAGAAAATTGTTTCAGATTAATGGGAATGTACTGGCTAAAACAATTCACAATGCTACCAAGTAAAATTAACAAAATATGGTGTTTGTGATTGCAAGCTTCTTGCACTTACATATGAATAATCAAAATATAAAGAACAAATATGTTAAAATTTCAATTTACTTTTATTTGTTTATATGTATTTTGATATATATAAACACCAGTGAACTGTCATCCTTCAGATTACCAATTAGTTAGGAATTAATGAGCTACAACTTAATGTTATTTCAGAACATATTTTGCTATCAAATTCAGTGTTAAAAATGTCCTTTAACCCAATTGATAATTCTATAGTTAATAATGAGGGATTGACAAAAATAAATAAATGATTATAATCATAATGGCCAATGAAAATACTATCATAATAATACCAAACATGAAAATAAATAAGAGTAAAAGTAATGCTGATAAAAATATATGATACAGATTAGTTAGCAATTATTTAGTTCTATTTTTTGTCACACTCAATATATATATATATTTTTTATATTGCTGTTGTTACAGCAGTGAATGTGCAGTAAGGTTTGAAAATGGAAATAGTGGAATATCAAGCAGTGATCAGGTTTTTATATTTGGATGGCTAACTTAAGGGAAGGATGCCCCATTATATGACATTATTAAACATTGGCATCAGCAGTTTAGGTGTGTTTGGATATTTGTGGAAATGGCTTCTATCCCAGAGTGCCCCCAGTCTGCCCTTGATGAGGACACCATCCATCAAGTGGAAACTGCCATTTTGGAAGATTGCTGTATTACTGTTCATAAACTAGCCCAAGATGTCAAGATTAGTGTTGAGTCTGTTGACAAAGTCATTCATGAGCATCTGCATATGCAAAAATTGTCTGCTCAGTGGTTCCCAGGCTGCTCACACCTTTCCAGAAACAGGAACAAGTCCATTGTTCCAAGGATCTTTTAGCCATGTGCCAAGAAAACCAGGAGGACTTTTGTAAGCCAAATTATGCAGGATGAAACAGACTAAGACCTAGTCAAAACAATGGAAGCACTTTGACTCACCACCCCTAACAGACCATGTATCACACCCTCAGCAGGCAAGGTCATGGTCACAGTCTTTTGGAACCAGCGTGGAATAGTGACGATGGTTTTTCTGGCAAAATATATACAATTACAGGAGCATATTACGCTTTCACTGCTACAGAAATTGTGGGAGGCTATCAAAACCAAGAATGTTGACCAAAGGTGTCTGCTTCCTACAAGATAATGTCCCTGTTCATAACTCTCATATTGCCCAGGTGGGAGCATGGTCCTGGGGTTACAACATCCTCATCCTTGTTATTCTCCTGACTTGGCAGCATCTGACTCATCTGTATATGAAGTCATTTTTGAAGGGCAAATGTTTCCAAGATGATGAGGCACTGATTTCTGGTCACTTCATAGCTTCAAATACAACCTGCAAACTGCGGATTTCGCCCCTGCAACAGAAAATATGTTATGAGTTATGGACTGGAAATCCACACCTGACCCATAAAGATTTGTATCTTTATGCATGTGAAATTTCAGCCTCCTTGGATAACCAGAAGTGGGTTGGGAATTCTTTAAATAGTGCCCACGGTATCAGTATATATAATTGTGTATATATATATATTTTGTTCTTTTCCTTTTCTCGTTGTTGTTTTCTTGCATGAACTTGAATTTTGATGAAGATATGGAAATGTATCCTGTTTTGCATATTTATGCATTATCATTATCTATACCTTTACTATTATTGTCACAAAAGATGGAAATGTAAGTGCAAAATTGTGTGCACATGCAGTATACCCCACAGCATTTGATGGCTTGCTTCAAGGTAACAGACAGTGATTAAAGTCACAATGAATCTTTTTATTTTATGCTCATTACAATGTTATATAATTTTTAACATGTCTTATCCTGACCAAGACTGATTAAGAGATCACTTCTCTCTGATACTCTGTACTAAATTACTGATAAAAAAATTATAATTAGAAGTACTTCAAAATAGTCAATGTATAGTGAAGTCATATAACCCTGGAATAACATGTCCACCATAAATCTGCACTAATCAGTCATCTGATTTGATAAATGCATCTAGTTTCTCTTGAACTAAAACTAATTTAAAATTATGTAATGTAACTTAATCATTTTTTGAAGATATATGGCCCTGTTAGCAACAAAAAAATATGCTAATGTTCACTTACCTGAATTCCACAAGCAATGCATGTTACCTCTAGGAATATATGCTGCTTTTTAAACAGAAGCTGAGAAAATAAGGCACTATAGAGAATGAACTATAGGCTTTTTGAACTTCTTATTGACTTCTTGAGCCTAATACTGGCTATTGCACTCCCTTGTGTATATTGACTTCATTTTAAAGTAAGTTCATTTTAATATAGCTCCCAAAAATGTGTGCTTTCTCTTCTTATTCCTGCTTATGTTGAATTCTTTGTAACACCACAAACTTCTGCAGTTACATGCATGTATACTGAAATACTACAATTACTCAGACAGTTACTGTATTACAGTTACTGAGTACAGTTACTGTACTGAGACTCCAGTCCCCAAGTCCTTTGCAGGATGTCAATTGATTTTCTCCTTTTATCGCTAATTGATAAATTTAAGTTTATTATCATTTCCAAAGCTGCATATAGTGTATGGTTATTCATTTTTTTTTTTTTTTTTTTTATTAATGCATACATTTTTACAACAATAATATGGAACTGCTTTACATGTACATTCATATCTGTAAAATGGATATTCATATATTTCAATTGAGACATAATTACCAAAAATAAGCCTTATATCTATTTACATGAACAAAAAAGCATAACAAAAATATATAATGTAAATTAAAATGCATTGCTTTGGGAATCTCATCACCTTATTGCAGAGGAGTGTAGATTTCTACAGTATCCTCACACTCACACTGATCTTTGGGCAAAGAGTGAAAATATCATGAACATCAATCCTATAAATAATCTGGTAGCAATGAAGCTATGTAGTAAAAAGCCCCATAGTGAATTCCATTTAGACTGATAACAGGACCTCTATTATTGGTTTAGATATCCCACTGATCATCCTACATGAGCAGTAAATGGAGGAGTTAGAGGTGCAAAAACAGTTACTGCCTCAGGCCTTGGCTTGATTTTCATTGGACGCACTTCAAAAGTCTCACTGTCAATGTGAGTTCTCGATCTTCTCCCTGAAATTATTGGAAGAAAGGGAGAGAAAAAACACTGTTACAAATGTATATTCAAACACCATTTTCTAAAAATTCAAACATTTCATGATGCATAAAAACAGATCTTGAAAAGCTCAGTATGTAATCTCAGTTTACATGAAGAAATGTGTAACGTAATTTTTTGAATAGGTTTATAAACTACATACGAAAGTCAAATGCATATGTATATATATAATATATACATATATAATATATATAT